CTGGGCCGCTCCACTGACCACCCCAGCAGGGCTGGGGGTCGGTCACCACCACGCTGGGGGCTGTGCCTGGGACAGGAATGTAAGCGAGCTGTTCTTCATTAGGAGGGTGAAAGCTCCTGGGCTTCTGCCTGGGCTGAGTCTAATGGCCTCTGGGGAGCTCAGGAATGCTTTGCTCAGTTGTACTCTCCAGCTGCCAAAGGGTGCAAGATGAGATGACTCTCCTCTCTTTGCATCTCTTCCCTGCCTGCATTATCCCTTCCCTGCCTGCATCTTGAGAATGCAAACACAGTGGCTGTCTCTGTGTGCTGACCAGGAAGGAGGAATTTTTCTTTTCCCATCATGGCCACAGGTGCAAGTCCAGGTCAGGGATGAATTTGCCTGCCAGTAACAGGAGGTTTTGATGTAGGTCGAGCATGTCCCCTCCTCCAGAGTGGGCAACAAATGGGAAAGGCAGCTGGGGAAAATACTCAGGGTTTTTTCTAGCCAGGTACCTAAGAACGGAATTCCTGTATAAGCCCCATATGCAATGAGCATCTCTGAACAGAGATGGCTGAGTTTGGGGCAGAGGAAGGACTGGACAAATTCTCAAAGTCTCCACAAGTGACATTTGTATTGTTCCTGTGCTAGAGGTTTAACTGAGATCCCCATGAAGTCTTTCTCCAACACCTTCCTGCTTGAGTGGTGTATTATGTTAGTACCTATGCTATAAATAATAATGATCATGATAATAATCAAGAGGACTGTTTAGCAGGGTTGTGCTGTGGTTGTGCATGTACTTCTTCGGTGCATGTGGCTTTTGGGGGTGGTGTTGAACAGGACAGCAAGTCCTCTAGCAGTGGGCTGTGGCTGTAACAAGCACGGTTCATTAGGAGCAGCGGTCAATAGACCCTTTCTGCCAGAAACCAATGAAAATGTGTTACAAAAATTTGAGCCTCCCAGCCATGTGGAAAAAGTTTAGTGTTGCAGTCTGTAATGTCAGCAGGCAGGGATGCAGTGTTCCCAGACACTCTGCTCCCCCATGTGAGTGCATCCACCACCTTACTGGGACCTCACATGGGTCCAAAGCATCTGAAGCCCAGGAGCACCAGGCTGGGTTTTGATGCAGGGCAGAATGATGTGTAGTTTGCTCTGGGTGGTATCTCTCAAGGACAGCAGCCAGCCAGCCAGACAGGAGCAATTTGTGGCTTCCCAGAAACAGTGCCTGGTATTTTGCTACTCCCCTTCACTTCTGCAGGGAACAGTTGGAAATGGTTCCTGTTAGGGAGTTTCCTCTGGCTAGCCTGGAGAGGGGAGAAGACACTGTGCCTCAGTCCAGGGCATAGGACAGCCCGTGCTCTGCTGTGGGTATTTTCTGCATCCCAGGGCCCATCAACAGCAGAGCCTTTTCGGCCTGGCCTGGGTCAAGAGCCTTTCCAGATGCGTGCCCCTCCTTTCCTGGGCAGCAGTGGATCAGACTAGACATGAAGCCATGGAGTGACTCTGAGTTGAGTTCAGTCTCCTGCCTTGGCTGTAGGGTCAACATCCCTTTGAGGTGACTATAGCCCCTGTGTCACTTCCAAGCTAGCCAGGCATCCTCAGCTTGGCTAGCAATGTCATTCTTTTGTGTAATATTTCTGTGCCAGTAAGCTTGGGACCTCTAGTGGGAGGTGATCCCCTCCTGAGTTGTGGGGAGAAGGAATGAAGCTGTGTAAGCCACCCACCTTCTGTTTCCCACTGTCCCTCATTTGGGAACACTGTGAGTAGGGCCTTCCTGCCCGTGCCCTAAGCCCACAGGGATGCAGCGTGCTTTGCCCATGCCTTGTGTCCCTAGACAGGCAGCTCTGCCTCTGCAGGTGGCCACCAGGCTGGCAGGCAGATGGGAGTAGGCAGGAAGGGGCTGTGTGGCAGGCCAGAACCTGACAGTGAGGGAGGAGGAACTCCAGCTTGAACTCCTTCCCGAGTCTTCGACACAAGTAGGGCTCCTTTGGGGAAACAGGGTGTTGCTCCTGCCAGCATCTCCTCAGGCATGGAGGCACAGCAGTGCCAAATCCTGCCTGCCATGAGCCGGCCTGGGGGCACACGGAGGGTAATGAATGAGCTGTGGTGGGTGAGGGTGGGCAGGTAGGTGCAAGAGCTCTGGGGATGCTGATGTGAGTGTCTGGTCTGACAGCAGTGGGCAGCTGCAGGCTAAAGTGGATGGGCCAGCCAGGAAGAGAAGGGAGGGGCTGTATGCCCCCGCTCTGCCTTTACCTCTCCTCTTGGCACTGGGAAGGCCCCTTTGCAGCTGCCCAGAGCTTGTCAGGAGCTTCTGTCAGAGACCTTTGCCCTTCAGTTTGCCAAAATTGGCTTGTTAGAAGAAGGGGTTGCATCAGCCTTGTTGTTGAAGGAAATTAGGCTATAAAAAACAGAATGGAGGAAAGGGATCCCTTCAAGGCATCCCTGGAGTTATCACTGGAATATAAAGACCCAAACTAGACACCACTGCTGAGTCACAGATGGAGTCCCATCACTTCTAACCCTTGTTGTATGACATCCCAGGCATATGTTCCCACTTGAGGAGGAATACATGCATTCTGCAGAGAGTGAAGGGGGTCAGTTCCAGGTGCTTTTTCAACCCTGCAGAAAGAATCAGACATGGGTTTGGATCTGGACAGCTTTTAGTGCACATCCGCAAGAGCACAGGGCTCCTGTGGCTCCCATCTGTTCTTGCTGAAAGGGCTCCACATTGGTCCCCATCTCACTCTGGCTTGCTGGCAGCTTGCAGGGAGAGGAGGGATAAGGTACTAGCAAGAGAGTAAAGCTACTGACCATGTGAGCAGTCTGAGCTGCTGCAGACACCCATTACACGCTGAGTTCTGGGGACTGGACACCCTGTACTGTTTTTCTGACTGAATCCTCACTGTCTTGTATCCTTTATTTGTTACTTGTTTTTATTTGTTTGGATTGCCCTAAGAAGCTGTGCCTCACTTATTTGTTATTGAGGAGGTAATGAGTTGTGGCCTTCCTGTGTTACTGGGGGGTTGCCAGCACCAGTGTGAAACTTCCCTTTATTACTGTGGGGCAGCCCAGGGAGGTACTCTGGCAGCACCTTCTCCAGTCCTGGACTTGGGTGCCGGAGGGGATTGCTGGGACAGAACACTGAGTGTTTCACTGCTATAAGAAGGGCTCAGTCACTGCAGATGCCTCCTTTTTTTCAGACCTTGAGTTGCCAGAATATCTTTTGAGGCAAAGGATGTACTTCAGCTGCACCTTGTATTGTTTCATTCTCTGGGGAGTAATTCCCAGTTTACTCAGTTTCTTCTCTATCCCGTGTCTGTTATCCTCTTAGAGTAGATGAGCCCTGATCTGTGCAGGCAGTTGAGTCCTGCAGCAAGGAATAAAACCCCAAGCATATAAACATCATGGGGCAAAATGGCAAAATTATCCCATCCTGGGGAGCCACATGAGTCCTGGGGATGGTGCAGGGGATTTTTTATGTTGCTATTGGCAGTTAGGAGGCTGTAGAGTTGGGAATGCTCATCGAGTGCTGTTCTTGTGGAAACAGAAAAAACAAAGGGCCACTTTAATAAATAGGTGGCCATGAGAAACTTCCAAATTTTTGCTGGGAGAATGCGAGGTCCCCTTGGCAAGGAGGAGTAGGAGACTTGTACCTGTGGTTGGCTTGGGCACCTAGTGACCCAGTGACACTCAGTCACCTCCAAACCCCCCAGCTGAGGTGTGTGTGACAGTCTGGTACTGCCATCTGCCACTAAACATCTCGTCTGTCCCCCCCACTGGGCATCCTCAGGCATCCCTGGGCAGCAGTGGCATCCTCTTCACCTTTCTCCCTCCTGGTGCTGCATCTGGGCTCCAGGGAGCAGTTGGTCTGCAGAAAGAATCCCGCTTGCCTTGTTGGGGGTGTATATCTGCTTTTATTTTAATCCTGAGCATTTTTCCCTCCTGTAGGAGGGGATGATCTGGGTTCACTTGCATAGAAATTGCAAGAAAGGCTATTCAGGGACAGATTTCAGCTACTCTGATGCTTTCCTTCTGCTGCAGTTAGTTTCCTCATAGTCACTTGCTGGACCAGCAAGTGACTTGTCATCAACACCAGACAGCTGGGTACCCAGGGGTCAGGAGACCAGGAACCTCAGGACCTTTAAACTGTATTCAAATTTAGTTGAGAAATAACCCTTTTTCACTCTGGTGGTTGTACTAAATGTCACAAGTCATCTAAGTTTAGACTGTCACCAGCTTGCTCCTATATATAACTGCTCAGGGCTCCTGACTGCATCCTGCCAGCAGAAGTTGTGCTGGGAGGTCTACAGGGAGATGGGTGCTATGGACAGAACCTAAACATGGTCCCCCTTTGTTGTCAGTACCATCAGTGGCAGTCAGGCAGCATTACTTGGCAGTGTTACCCTTGGCTTTGCTGGCTGCTTGCTGTGTGTCAGCTGGTTTGATCCCGAGTGGGGCTGCAAGCTGAGGACCCTGGAGATCCTAGCACTTGTCAGCCACATCTTTGGTATCACTGCTGAAATGTCTGCCCAGCCACATGGTGACTGTGCTGTGTGATTGACCTTGGCTTTGGAATTGTATCATCTTCAAGCATTCCTGGATTGTGCTCTTGCCTTCTTAAGGCAGGGTGAAGCATGAACTTGTCACTTAATCCTCTCAGCATGGATAAACAGGGGCTTCTCTGCCTCATTTATGTGTCACCTGGCCCTGGAGGTATTGGTCTTCTCCCACAAAAACAATGATGGCCCTTGTATGTAGAAATGCATCCTAGACCTCTGACTCATCCATGCTCTCTAGACACCTTCCTGTCCCGAGCTCAAAGGTCACACAAAAACCTTGTGAAGTCCCACACAGTGGTGTAAAGCCAGGGCTGTAGGCAGCAGCTGGGAAGGAGGTTCCTTTGGTTATTCTTATCCTGCCTGGTCCAAAGATCTCCTCTGGGATTGGGCATGAGGGTCTCTGTGCAAAAGCAAGCCCCACTCATCTCACAGAGACATGACAGTTTGGTACCCCATTCCTTGCAGAACGGGAGTCCCGGGAGCATGAGGAGCCAACCACGTCGGAGATGACGGAGGAGACCTACCCGCCCAAGGCCTACCGGCCCAAGCATGGGCGCCTCTCTGAGCTCAAGGCCGAAGCCCTGAAGAAGGACCGCCGGAAGAAGCTGACCCTGGCAAAGTTCGTGGGCATGGCTGAGAACACGGCTCACCCTCGTGTTGTCATCCCCGAGCTCCGGCAGGAGTTTGAGCTGGTGGGTGCCTTCACCTTCCCTCCATGAGGCTCCCATGGGAAGGTGACTGTGGAGGGCTTTTACCCCTGGGAAATGGGTAGTAGTGGGGGGGGCCTGGGGGCTTTTGCAGCTGGAAGATTCTGTGAGGTGCTTCCCTTCTCACATTTGATCTCCCTGCATGCAGGGCCCGTGCCGCAGGCACATGGAGGCATCCCTGCAGGAGCTGAAGAGTAGCCAGCGGATGGTCCCCCGTGCTGTCCACCTCCCCAACTGTGACCGCAAGGGCTTCTACAAGAGGAAGCAGGTAAGATGTTCCCCACCCAGGAAGGCTTTTCTCTACCAATGCCCTGCGTGGGAAGGATGAAGGTTTTTCCTTTGCTGGGTTAGTCTGGGTGTTGCTGCAAGCATCTCCAGACACATTTGGTGGTGGGTGGCCTTGCCAATGGCTCTAAGTGCCATCTGGCCTGAAGCAAGCATCCTGAAGGAGCTGGTGAGGGAGGGAGAAAAATCAGAGAACCCTGGGCTGGGGTAGCAGCAGGGACAGGGATGTGCTGAAAGCAGAGAGCAGGAGCCAGATCCTACCATGGGGATTGCATTGCTGGTATGAAGGGGCCAAGGCCAGATCCCCAGGGAGGGAGCCACACAGCCTCTGGTGGCTAGCTTCTGATCTCTGCCCTTGGGTGTCTCCCCAGTGCAAGCCCTCCCGGGGCCGGAAGCGTGGGTTGTGTTGGTGTGTGGACAAGTATGGCATGAAGCTGCCGGGGACTGACTTCCTGAGCGGAGACCTGCAGTGCCACGCGTTCGACAGCAGCAATGTGGAGTGAAGCCACCTCCCCTCCCTCCGCCCCATCACTATCTATCCAGACTCCCTTCCACCCTCCCCTCCACACCTCCCCACGCCCCGGGACTCCGATTCCTTTCATCTCATGTAAGACGAAAAAAGAAAGGAAAAGAAAAAAAGAGAAAGGAAGAAAAATGAAAAAAAACGGAAAGGGAAAGAAAGAAAGAAAGGAGAGAAGTAAGGAAAGGAAAAGTAAAAATAAAAAGAGAGAAAAGAAAGAGAAAAGAAAAAAGAAAATTAAAAAAGAGAAGAAAAGAGAAAAGAAAGAAGAGAAAAGGAAAAAAAGAGAAGAGAGAAAAATAAACCCTGAAGAAACTGAGGACTCGGAATCTACAACAGCCTTTTGACAACAAGGACTCAGCAAGGAAAGGATAGAGCCAGAGACAAACCAGCCATGGCCACTCTGCCATCCTGCACCTCTCCCCAACGCTGCCTGCACCCCTCTGCCACAAGCAGAGGTCACCCTGATGTAGGAAGCTCTCCAAGTTGCTGATTCTCCAGTACGAGTTTTGGGCAGGTTCATTTTTATTTTTATACTTTTTTCGTGTTAGCTAGTTGATTTCTGAAGGGTCTTGAGAGAAAATCTTGTGGCCACCAGTGTTCCCCTTGCAGTCCTCCAGAGTATCCTCCCCACGTTGCTGGGACTCACTTGAGTTGATTTCCATCTCAAATGACTGCCCCCAATCCAGGCAGATTTCAGCAAGGGAGGAGATGTGGGACTGTTCACTTTGTGTCTGGAGACAAGCTGGGGAGGGAAACACAGATCCTGCAACAGCACAAATACCCCCAGAAAGTATCTGTGGTCTTCAAAAAAAATTATCACAAAAGGAAATACAGTCTCCCCTGTCCAGTTCATCTTGATTGGAAGGTCAGAAATTTTCTTGGACAAGCAGGACTGACCATTGTCCATCCAGGTGTGAAAGTGTTCATCACCTGCATGCACTTGTGTGTGCATTGATGTGGCTTTCCCTCCTTGCAACGCTTCACCTTGAAATTCGGAGGTTTCAGTGTAATATGAAATTGGAGGATATGCTGCCCCTCCAAAAACAAATAATAACCTGCTGGATTAAGCACAGAAGCAGTTATGGAGGAGCATCAGTGCGCAGGTTAAGCACAGAAGCAGTTATGGAGGAGCATCAGTGCCTGTGGAATCAGGGCCTCATCAACACTGAGGACTGCATCACTGTTCAGACTGAAGTATCCCTACATGGGGACAGGGGAATCAGGGCCAAAACTCTTCACCACCCTTTGCCACCACGAAGACGACCAACTATGGAGACTTTTTTTTTTTTTTTTACACAGTCAAAAATGTGGTTTGCTTCAGGGGCAAAAACCCCCAAACCTCCTCTTTGTTTCATCTTGGTTTTTTGTTAAGGCTGGTTTATAGCTTTCCCCGTGGGTAGGAAAACGCCATCCTTTTGCATTGAGGATACTGCTCATGTTGCCACGGCTGATTCCCACGACCCTGCAGTAAGATCCTGTGATGGGCCCCTGCCTTTAACCTGGGGCCCAGCTCCTTGTTGAGTGACAGCAGCCACTGCTCCGTGGAGACCCACTGCCTTGGGCATGCTGGGACAGCCCTTGGCTGCCTTCCTAACTCATTTGTTGTTTTTAACATTTGCATTTGATTTTGGGACTCTCGCCTCTTGCTTATCCCTGACAAGGGTCTCCACAATGTCGGTGCTGGGAGGAGATCCTGCAGCGAATGGAAGGAAAGAAAGGGAGCTGTGGGGGTCTGGGTGCTGTGGTGGGGAAACACACCCGCTGGGAACCACATCCTACTGCCACAGCTGGAGGTGGCAGCCAGCACTGGCCAAAGGACACAGCTGATCTCAGGTGGAAGGTTCCTGAACCCCCATACCCCTTTCAGCTTCCTGGACCTGGGCAGAGAAAAATGGAGGTCCATAGCACTACTGGGGCCCCACCAGTGGGGATGGGACGAAGGGGTTCTGGTGAAGGCTTCTTGCCATCACAGACTGGGAGCCCTCACAGCCTCTCATGAGATGACATTACTCCCCTAAGCATCCCGTGGGCTCCCCACCAGGACGTTACCCTCATGGAGGGCAGGACTGGACACCTGTGGTTATTTCCCTCCAAATGACAGTGGGGGTGAGTTTTGCCTATGGACTTCCACGGAGACCCAGCAGAGCACATTTCGTCCTGGGGACAAAGCACCTTCCCATGTTGAAAAGAAGGAAGTGTGCTACCAGTGTAGATGTGCCCCCAAAAAAGCTTGTTGCAGTGGGGTAATTCCATGGTATTGGAGGGGAGCATGGTGGGGGCTGAGAGACAGACCCCTCCAGGCTCTGCAGGGCTGATGGAGCAGGGTTGGTTTAACCAGAGAGGTGGATTAATGCTGGGGTGCAAGTGGAGTGAAGAATGGGGTGAAGACAGCAGGAGGAGGAGCTTGTGCTAACCCCAAGGGCCACCGGACACCATTTTTGACACTGTCCACTTGCTGATCCCTGTGCAAAACCTCCTGACTGTCATAGGCCAGTACCACCTTTCCCAGGACCCTTCCTTCCTTCTCTCTTCCTCTTTCTTGCTTTTTTTTTTGTTTGTTTGTTTTTGGTTTTGTTTTTTTTGGTTTTTGTTTTTTTTTTTTTTTTTTTTTTTTTGTTTGTTTGGGTTTTGTTTAATTTCCCAAAACTTGAAAGCCTTTGGCTGCAGAGAAAGGAGATGTGCCCCCGGGGTGGGACGGGAAGGGCATCAGGCCCCCATGGACCTTGCCTTTTGGCGAGGATGCTTTTGCAGGGTGAGAGCTCACAGGACCCCACGGTGGTGTCACAATGAGGCCACCACAGATACTGGGAAGGGACACAGGGCAATGCTCTGTCCTCTCCCTACCAAGCAAGTCTACATGGCCCTGGGAGCCCAGAGTACCAAAATCCATCCCACACAGCCTCCCTCACCCCTGCACACCCCATGCTGGGATGGCATTGCCTATCCTGTCCCCACAAACCTGGGGGAAAGGATGATGGACATTTGGGGTGCACCAGCCTCACCCCCCAGATCACCTCAGCTCCCAGGATGGGCACCAAGTGACCCCCCCCCAGCTGCCCACTCCCTTAAGGATCCCCAGCAGGACGAGGCTGTTTACAGGCTGCAGTAATATTTAGGACCGGGGTTGGAGCCTGGGTTGGGCTGGGATTGAGAGTGACTTCAGGAGGGCTTGGTCACCCTCTGAGGTGGCAGTGATGAGGTGCTCCCATTCTCAGCACCCAGCAGCACCCCTCTGCATTTAGGATGAGAAAACCAGAAGGGGCAGATTTGGAAGCTGGGGAGGGTTGAGGCACACCAGGAGATGCCAGCAATTTTTGCATTGGGGGGTTGTGAGGCTCAGGGGTCTCTGGCTGCGGTATTTGTGCTGAGCCCACGTTGGTATCTAGGATGTGAGCTGGGAAGGAGAGGACAAGGATGGCTCAGGACAGCCCTTCCACCACATCTGCCCAGGGAGCGGCGCTCAGTGGCTGGGCTACCCCTTGTCTGTACTGCAGTGGACTTTGAAAACCACTAGTACAAGAGCATTTTGCACTATTTCTCCGCTCTCTCCCCCCTTCCCCTTTTCTCCACCTTCCCCATGAAAATTCTTTGCTGTTGGTTTAGTTTTCTTTTTTTTTTGTTTTGTTTTGTTTTGTTGTCATTGTTGATTTTTTTCCCCCCAAATGGAGCATTGTATATTTAAAGAACTGTCAGTTCACCTCGCTTCCAGACCGCTGTCCTGGCCCCGGCTAGGAGCCCTGCCTGCTGTGGCCCCCTCCCCAGCCCCACCAGCCACCGCCACTGCCACCGGGACAGACGTCACCACGCACGTTACCCACCGTTGTAACACAGTTGTTAAAACACACCAGATTCCGAGTTTCCTGCCTGGTTTTTATCTTTAAGCAATACTCACTACACATTTTACGGTAGCTTTTTATAGCTTTACATACATACGGTAGCTCTGTTGTTTCGTTTTGGTTTTGTTGTTTTGTTTTTTTTTTTTTCCAGTAAACAAGAAATACTCATAATCTTACTGGTGGGAAAAAAAAAAGCAGTTTGTGAAAAACTGACAATGGAAGAAGAGCTTAATGCTCTGTTTAGCATTTTGTACTTAAAAAAAAAAAATCTCACATTTTATTAAAAAGTGAAGATTGCTGTATACTATTTATTCAACTTATAATTTATGTTACTCTTTGATCTTTGTCTTTTCTCATGACAAAGCATTTATTTAATAAAGTTATGCATTCAGTTAGCTCGTGCCTGACCCTCGTGGAGCATCTGTGTGCCAGGGCCTGCCAGTGACCTGCTCCAGCCCCGAGCATCCCACGGCTGCCTGTGTTGGGTCCCTTGGGGGGCTTAGCCTGATCCACAAGGATGCTCAGGGAGTACAGGGCATGGGGTGGCAATGCTTTAGTGGAGATTTTCATACTAGAACAACCTGCTAGGTGACTGGTAAAAGTTTGCAAGCTTAACTTTACAGCTTCCTACAAGCAGAGCTACAATTTTTTATCTTTTTTTTTTTTTAGAATTTTCTTTGCATGGATGTGGCAGTGCACATTCAACCAGTTTACCAGGGCAAAGTACCTAGCAACCAGTGACGTTAAGCCCCTAAATGCTATCTCAAACTGAGCTCCACAGCTTGGGAGCAGACGTGTGCTGTTTGAGTCTCAGACCTCTTGGGGCCTCTGGAAGATTTGCTCCAATGTCCCAGCGGCAGGAACATCCCTGGAGCTGCTCAGCCCAGCCAGGCCGTGGTCCTCAAACACTCTGTGGTAGCTCTTGGTGGCTCATCCCTCCCCGGTGCTGGATCTGACCCTGCCCCACCACCCAGGCAAACATCACCTTTCATCCTCCCACTGCCCCCGATCTCCCTCCTCCTGTACCCCTCTTCCCCTCCATTCACCTGCCAGCATCACCAGAACTGGGTGCCCAGAGCAGGGCAGGAGGCGAAATCATCCCCTTTGCCCCTGCACTGAGGACCGCGGGTTGCCAGGGCTACGCCTAACAATGCATCCCGCAGCCATCTTGCAGCACATGGAGCTGGCACAGCCACCCTGTCCCGATGGATACCGTGTCCCCGATGGACACCCCGTCCCCCCGGACACCCCTCACGGCCGAGCCCGGCCCCCTCCGGCAGCACAGGGGGCAGGAGCCGCGCGGCGCCGCAGCCGCCACCAGGCGGCGCCACGGCCCGCCCGCCTTACCCTCAGGGCCCGGCCGGCGGGGCCCGGGCGCGGTGCTGCCGCTTCCAGCCGCGGAAGCCCTGAAATCTGGCTTTCCATGCAAAAAGTTAGCGCTGCCTTCAGCTACGCGCTGATAAATCACATCCCTAAGGACAGCTGGAGCTGTATACATGTGTATAAGTAGCTACAGCTATACACAGATACATACATTTTTACACTAAGGATGTTATGTTTATATTGTACTATTGTACAGGTTTTTATAGTAAAAATTTCAGGAAGAAATTCTTCGCTATGAAGATGACGAGGCATTGGAACAGGTTGGGCAGAGAAGCTGTGGGCATTTTCAAGGCCAGGTTGGATGGGGCCTGGAGCAGCCTGGTCTAGTGGAAGGTGTCACACACAGCTCGTGTTTGTTCCCCTTGTTTCAAGGGTTTGTTCCGGCCCTTGAACAGGACGGTGGCCCCAGACACACTGCTGGGCTCTGGGCATGTCTGCCACCTCCAGCTCTCTTTGAGCAAGACCTAGCTTGGAGCACCCTTGTGCCCCACCCTGCTACTCAGCATACCCCCATGGCATCACCTGAGCCACCTCCAGTTCACCCCAGAGAGACTGAACAGGACAGTAATTTTGCTGCTTTTCCCCTGTTCTTCAGCCTACATCCCACCCCCCATCACGCCTGTCCTTTCCCCTCCCCTGCAGCCCCCTGCAATCACTGCCTCCTGCCCCCAAACAGTTTCCAGGCACTCCTCAGCACTGGCAAGCCCCTCAGTGTGTGTCAGTCTGAAATTTGTGGCAGGAGATAGAAGAAAACAGAAGGGGAAGAAGTCCAGTGGTGCTGCCTCCCTTTGGGGAGTTCAAAGGAAAAACACAGCCAGCTGGATGCAGGATGTTAGAGCCAGCAAAGAGCCTCTCCTTCAATGCTGCAATTTTAATTGAATGTAGTGTGGGGTTTTTTTTAAATTTTTATTATTATTTGCCTCTCTGTGATGCCCAAACACCAAGCTCTGCTGTCACACTCCCTCTGGAAGCACTTGTCACCTTGGGAGAAGGTGCAGGACCTCTCTCCACAGTTACATGTGGTCACACACAGAGGCCTGTAGCTCCCTGCACTTCCCAACAGATTCACAAGGACCCATGTGTATAGCAGGAATACAGCCAGGCAAAGGAGGAGTAACACCAGTTCCTCCCTACCCACATAACCAGGGCCAGTAACAATGAAAAGCCCAGCTCCCATTACTGCCTGTCAGTCATGGACAAAGGATGAACAGGGACAAATCTGTGTGTGATGCATCAGGAAAAGAAACATCCTGTGAGTGCTGTCGAGGGGAAAGACAACCGTTTTCTGGAATCCTAGTTAATTTATTCCAACCTTATGTATCTTGGCTTTCTTAAAAAGGAAGGCAAACAAATAACAAAACTTCCCTATTCCTAAACAAAACAAAGTACAAACTGCAGATGAGAGCCAGAATGTGCAAGTTTTATATGAAAAAGCAGAACACCCTCAGATGTTAACAGAAAACATGTAGCATCATTTTTACAGTTACTTGGTTTTGCATGGAGGTGTGTTTTCTTCTTTCATTTGCTCCCGTTCATACACATCCACATATGCCCATCCCCAAAGGGGATGCCCCCTTTCCAAAGGGGGTTCTTCCCCAGTCTCCTCCACTGCCATGTCCAAACCCTTGCAAAGGCACGAGGGCCCTAATTAACAAAGCCCACCTGTGCCCTTCACACTTCAGATCTGAAATGTGGGTCCAAGAAGGGGGATAAGAAACAACAAACCATTAAAGAAAAGCCCGAGACGTTTACTCCAAGGAGGTTTTTGCAATTGCTCTAATAAGGACATCCATATTAAAAAAAAAAAAGTAATAAAACCTCCTTGCTTAGGCAATGGGGAAGTTATTTATTCTCAGCATCAGTGTGTTCTGTACAGAAAGAAATCAACAGGTGAATTAACAGCAGAGACACATCTCTCCTCAGCATGTCCAGCACAAAACCTCTCAGAGCACCTGGAATCACTTGGATTTCATCTATACAAATGTGTATGTGGGCAGAAAAGTGTGAGAGTGTGTGCGTGTGTGTGTCTGTGTCTGTGTGTTTGCATGTGTGTGTGTGAGTGAGGGCCTTTACAAAGCAAGATATATACTGTAATTTACTTACAAAAAGAAAAAGTTATGTGCTGAATAACAGATGCTCACTTCAGTCCCAAGCAAAAATGGAGGGACAAGGGCAGCTGCTTGGGAACGTAGGTTTTAGATGTTTTGTTTTTTCCTATCTAGAAATAAAGAAAAAATGAATAAGAGAAAGAGAGACATTCCCTGGCTTGTTATCCTAAATCTACACACGCATCCTTCCACCCAGCCTCGGCAAGTTCATTTTAGCTCCCTCGGCATAAGCTGATCCTAAGAAATACTGTGCAAAAGCCCTTCAAATCCCTTGGAAAAACAAGCATTTAGCTTTGCTATCACCCAAAGACCCCATGCTCCCACACCAGTGACTGAAGCTGGGCCCCTCTGGAGTTGGCTGTCCCCCAGCACAAGCAAAGGAAGCACCCAAGAGTGTTGTTAGGGGGCAAGGTGGCAGCTGTCTCATCTTTAGCCCTTTCCCTCATTGCTGCTTCCTTGAGGAACACATCCCAACTGTGGTGATATGTTCAAGCTGGGAATCCAGGGTTTTTCTTCCTTTCCTCCTTCCCACACTACATCCCATGCCAGGACTGATGGCTGGGCTGGGGCACAAGAGACTGACTGGCAGGACACAAGAGGCAGGTGACAATATTTACAGTCTTTGGTCTTGGGGAAGAAAGAAAAAGAGGGGAAAAGGCTGGGCTCTTTCAGTTTTTTTACCCTCTCCCACTCATAGCAAGGGGTTTCGTCCCCTGGGAGGGGTCAGGGAGCACATGGCACTCTGTGCTGGAGGGTGCAGAAAGATGCCGCAAAGCAGCAGGGAGGGCAGGGCTGCAGGGCGAGGAGCAAAAAAGACCAGTTCTCTGGTTTATGTTGGGTGAAAGACTAAGAAAGCAGTCCCTTCTCCTTGCAAACCCCCCACCACCTTCCCCTCCCCTTATCCCTCCCCTCCCCAGGAACCAGGCAGCTGAGGAAGGAGGGCAGCACCCAGTCTCTTCCAGAGCCTAAAGAGACATGCTGAAACCCATGTAAAATCCAGCACTGGGGCCACAGTGAGCCACCTCCAGCCAGCAAGATCACGTCTGTCTACTGGCTCCGCAGGGTGTGTGCTCCCCGGTCCTCCTGCTCATGGGCTGTATAGAAGAGGTGGCACTCGGGGTCCCCACGGATGGTGGGTGCACCCTGGATCACCTTCCCATGGATGGGGTCCACGCACCAGCACTCGCCACGTTGCCCATTCACCGACATCTTGCACTGCATGGAGAGGGACAGGACACGTGTTAGAGTCAAGAGGACAAAACAAACCACTTCCCAGGTCACCCAGCCCAAAGCCCCAGCACTGGCAGAGCTGGGGTTTCTCTGATGAACTGGCACTAGAGTTTAGATTCAGGGAAAATCCATGGGATGCTGTACTCAAACCCCCCAGGGCCTGTGCTGCACCAGCCATGTTACTCCAGCAGTCCAGGGTGGGGGCTGAACCTTTTTCCCCAGGGGCTGTGCAAAGGACCAAGAAGCCAATTCTAATGAACCAGAAGGACAAGTGTCCCTGAAATGCATCACCCTTTGCCAGCTGTGGATGAAAAGCATCCAAAGAGACAAAGATCCCTTAGGAAAGAGGGATGAGAACAGATTGACAGAGGAGCGGCAAAATAATCTTCTCACCTGCAGATTAGGCTAAACAAACATCAGATCAAGGCCCCCACAGCCAGACCAAACAGAGATTCACTTATCCCAGAAGAGAGGCAGGGACCATGGTGCATCTGAACGTGGCCTCTGTCCTCCTAGTCTTGTTAGAGAAAAGTTTCTTGGTCTAATAGTTACCATCCTCCTCCTGCCCTGCAGTGCTGCACTTTGAACCTGCTGTTCATCCCTCCAGCCCCAGCAGATACATTTCTGAACAGGCTGTAGTGCAAGATGAGAAGTTACTCCAAGCAGGCCAGTGC